GACAGAGGAGCTGGCCTGGGGTGACAGAGCTATAGTGTATACTTATATAAAGAGAATATATGGCCCTGGCAGGTAGCTCAGTTGGTTAGGGAGCATTCCCATACACCAAGGTTGCAATTCAGCTCCCAAGGTTGTGGTTCAATCCTGGTCAGGGCACATACAAGGATCAACCAGTGGGTGCATGAATAAGTGGAACAACAAAGATCAATTTTCTCTCTCTCTCTCCCTCTCTCTCAAAGTCAATCAACAAATAAAAACTTTAAAGAGAATAGCTATTCCATAATTCTGTAACATACATGTATTCCACAACCCCTGGGACCCACTATAGGCCAGACTTCCTCAGCTTTCTCATTCCAAGACCAGGTAAGTTTGGGCCAGACAGCCTCCAACTCAAGCTGTGCGATGACTGAAATTTGGGAAGGTTCTGGGATCTTATAGGTGAATCAGTCTCCTTTATTCGTCTTCTCCCAGAATTGGCAGAAAGGAAGGGGATATGGGCATCATTGAAGGCTGTCTTCCCTTTGAAGGACAGAATGAGGGCAATCCCCATTATGGAGCTCAGAAAGAAGTACAGGGGTTTTGGGGGGCAGTGGTGAAAGGGGTCCACAAATGATTTCTTTCCCTTCTTATTAGGTAGGGAGGGGGAGGAGTAGAGAAGGGGCCAGAAACAGAAAAGGGGCCTGCTGTGTGTGGCTTGGGAAGGGGGGAGCTCTGGGGGCCCTGATAGTGACAGGCGAGGTATAAATAGCTTGGGCTCTGCGGCTCATGTTCTGTCGGCTGCCTGTGACGAGGTGCTCAGGAATTCTGCTCTGCTATTGCCCCCCCCATCTCCAGAACTGTCATTCCCCCATACCACCTTTGTCCCATGGCCAAAACCAACTACCAAGCATCAGTGCTGTCTACTTCAGAGGCTAAGCTCTCCTGTGGAGAGATGCCCAGCCCCTGGGGACACATGACACATAGCTGGGTTTTACAAGGGACTCGTGTGTGTGTGTGTGTGTGTGTGTGTGTGTAAAAAGGCAAACTTCTGACATCCCACCTGAGGTGCCAGCCAAGGGTTCAGAGATGTTGTCTCTGAAGTCTAGAAGTAACTGAGGAACAGATCTGAGGAAGGATGGATTCCTCTCTCTAAGCTGCTGGGGAGGAGAGAAGGGGTAAAGTGGGTTTTCTTGGAGACAACAGCCCCTTTACAAGTCCTAGTGGCTCACAGTCCTGTTTTGTGGGTGTTACCTGAGGTCCCTCAGTCAGTTGAGGGCCTCTGTTAGGGTTGGTGTGTTCAGAGGAAAGCCGACAAGTGGAGAAAGAAGTCTCTCTCCCACTTCTCATTCCCTCTCCTTGGGAGACCCCAGAGGAGTGAGTGAATGGTCTCAGCAGAGCAAGGTGCCTATTGCCAAGGATGGTTCCCGGAACCCTTCTTACCCCCCTGAAACCGGAGCCTGTTGCTCTCCAGGATAAATCGGGGCCTGAGTCAGGCCCCAGCCAGCCAGTCACAGCAGCCTGACCCAGGGGCAGGCTGGTGACTCAGCCCTCAATATAGCCCATGAGCCCAGGCCCCAGGCCCGGCCATGAGGCCGGAACAGACCGTGCACAATGCTGGTCCTGGGGCCTGCCAACTGGAGTGGCCTCCCTGAGGGCCAATGTGTTCCTCCCTGAGCCAGGCAGGGGCTCACAGAGGGGCTTACAGGGGGTTTCATCAGCTGAGTACTTGGGGCAGTGCTAGCTGGGGCCACAGGCCCTTTATAGCCCCCTGACTCACCACCTGCTGACCTGTCTCTTGGGAGCGGGTTGCCTGGCCTCCGACCTGGCCCTACTTCTCCCATCCAGGAGTACTGCTTATCCGCCACTGACAGTGGCCATATTTAACTTGGTCTGTGCGGAGTCTGAATGAGCAGGCCCAATGGACCATGTTTGAGAATCCTGTTTTTCTGGAGTCAGGGATATTTCCACAGTCCTGTGATGATAGCAGGCTAGCCAGAACCACAGTAGGCCGTTTGATCAGTCAGTGATACTGACTGTGGCCCTGACCTAGGTGCCAGGGACAGTGTGGTAGGATGGAAAATCCATAGGCGCTGTAATCTTGGGCAGGTAATGTAACTCTTTTGGGTCTCAGTTTTCTCATCTCTAAAATGGAGTTAATAGTGGTCTCATAGGGATTTTTTATGTGTGAAGATGAAAGGAGGTAATGTAAAATGGGGAGCATGGTGCCTGGCAGCTAATAGGTGATCAGAAAATTAGTTTGCTTCCTCTTCTGGTATCTTGGGAACCATGTGGGTTTTGGTGAGCTAGGTCTTCCTCCCAGCTCTGTATCTCCTATAGAGTCCATTGCCAGGATCTCCACCGTGCTCCCCTCTTCCCTTCCTTGCATCCTAACACTCTACCTGCCAGAATCAGAACCAGAGTGCTTCTGATCTTTAGAACCACCCACCCTGCCCCCGGTAGCAGCTGGTTCTTGACAGGAGTGGCAGGTGGTACACTGTACCACATGACCTGGGGAGGGAAAGCAGAGGGGGCTGTTGTCCAGGGAGAGGCAGAAAGGAAGCAGTTATCAGAGGGCAGTAGAGTGGGGGGGAGTTGGAGGCCCCTGAAGGTGTTATGAGTCCTTGGTTCTATCTGTACCCGAGCCTGGGTGGACGTCCCCCTGGCTTCTAAGAAACACCCCTGTAGACATAAAGCTGGCTCAAGTGACTATCACATTCAACACAGAGACCTCTTTAGTCTATTCTGGTGAAGTGTATCAAAAAGGCCAGAAGTCAGAGCCCAAAAAGATGAAGAGAATGGCATTCTAAAGTGAGCCATCGGCGTCATGTGTCCTAAAGGAAGAGCTCTGTATTCTAAGCAAAAAGGCTGGGGAAAGCAGGACACCTCTCCTGTCATGGCCCAGGCTCTAGATTCGGGCCTGGGAAGGCTCAGATAAAGTCCTGACCGGGGGCCGATTGCTTACCAGACCATGACCTCCATCTTGACTTCTGATTAATTACAAGTTAAATCAGTGATCCTCGGTGGTAGGTAACGTTCTAGTCTTTTCCACTACGTATGTTCTCCAGCCAACTGGTGGCCAGAGTAAAGTGGATAAAAGGCAGGGTTTCACTACACTTAACAGCCAGGAGCCAGGGGCCAGTGGCACCAGAGGGTTGTGAAGGAATTTCTTCAATTAGGTTACAACTGAGGACACAGTCAAATATAACTGAGGGCAGTGCTTCTCAAATTTTATTGTGCATACTAATCAATTGGGGATCTTGTTTAAATGCAGATTCTGTGTTGCATGTCCGAGGGGGTCTGAGATCCTACCTTTCTAACAAGCTTGCACGGCTGATGCTGCTGATCTGTGGGCCACACTTTGAGTAGCTAGAAGCTAGGCCACCTTAAATCAGCTCTATCTTCAAAGAGTCATTTAGAGAGAGGCAAAAGGGACATGTGGCACTACCCTCAATCTGCCTAGGTGCAGCCTTGTTTATAGGGCCGGGTCATGTTTTCTGCACTGGCCCCAGGGCTGCTCGGATGGACTCCCAGTTCAGCACTGTCACTCCTCTGGGCTGCACACAATTTTATACTCTAATTCTAAATGGCCTTACTGCTGAATTAATTTAGTGCTTAGTAGTGTCCACCACCATACATGCTCCATAGGTTGCTTTGGATATTTGGGTGAATGAAACAGACTCCTCTGGCATCACGTGGACAGAGAGACGGCTCCCAGGAAACCAGCAGTCATGGGGGCCATTCTGTCCACTGTGGCTTATGAATATACTTGAGGGCTTTCTTATGGAAACATTCATGATGAGAACAGCCAAGCACAAAGGGTTCCACAGAGATGAAGGTAAACAAGGACACTCATAAATTATCATTATTCTGCCTGTCCCCACTTAGACCCATTCTCAATCTTTTGCCCCGCTCTGAACTCCAGGAGGCTGACCTTGAGAGATGACATCACATGGGCACCTCTGCTCTCTGGCTCCCAGTTGGGATCAGACAATGAGAGGTACCAACAAGAACCTGGCAGGTGGGAAGAGGGTGGGGGATACATAAACTCCTCACTTCATTTGTGGCTCTGACAAGGGCCACATCTCCTGTGACCTCCATGTGTGTCTGGGACCCCTTTTCAGGCCTGGGATGGTAGCAACTTTCCACTGTTGCTGGCACCTGGGGGACTTCACTACTCCTTGTTGGTTCTTTAACTCTGCCTTCTGTACATTGTCCCTTCATTAAACTCTTCAGTAAAGCTTTTGAGTGTGTGACCTGTTTACTGCCAGGCCCCTGAGTGATTAATAAAGTTCTCTAAGAGTGAACTCCTTGAGAAGTCATAGGACTAAGCCAGGAAGACTCACACACAGATCTCAGGGCATTCTTCTCGAGTAAGGAGGTATGGGCACAGAACCTAAGGGCAGGGCAGGTCATTGGGCCCCCTCACACAAAGTACCCAGTTCATTCTGTTTCTGTGCTCAGATGAGCTCCTTGAGATAGTGTTAATATGTATAGACCAATCCATCTTGATTTGTCTGGTGGCACAGGAGCCAGCTTCATTTCTGAGGTCATTTGTGGGTGATAAATCATATTTAGAAGTCAGTCCCTTATATGAGGTGCCCAGTTTAAGGGAAACCGCTCTGTTCTGGTGTGTTGTGAAGTATTTAACAAATAAAAAGCCACAAAGTCTCATGTAGTTAGGTTGATATTTAATTACAAGGAGCCCAGATTCTTATACAAGGCAGGAAGGAGATGGGAGCGAGCAGCTCCCCATAAGCCTTTTCAGCCTGGGTGACTGAGGCTAAGAAGACGGGGGCACATGGGACATATGGGTGGATGGGGGCTCTGGCACAGTGTGTCCTGCCCAAAGCTGAGGGTAGTAGCCACTGGGAATCTGCCCCTCGGCTGGCCCAGGTCTGCCATCACTCCATGAGGCAGAACTCTGTCTCTGGCTGTCGCATGTTGGGTAACACATAAAGAGCCACAGCTGCAAGAGCCAAGAACACCATAGGCTTCCACATCCCAAACATGTTCTGTGGGGACCAAAGACAAATGGTGAGTGCCCAGCCTTCTGAACCCTTCCCTAAGCCAGAGCTCCCCTGCCTACCGGTGCTGGAAACACCTGAGGACCATCATGGTCCACTCCCTCTTACGTCCTGGATAACTGCTGGAGACAATGTGGTCTGAGTCCTGGCACCACTAGATACCTGGGACGATCTTCTGTGTATCGCCTGAGGTGACGGCCTGTGTGCATGCCCCATGGAATTAGAATACCAGTTCCTGTGTGCAGAAGGAAGCTCAGCAGCCAGACTGCAGAGTATGCAAATGGTTGCAATGAGGAAGGCTGGATACCATGGCAAAAATATGAGGGTAAACGTGGGCCTTTGGGAAAAGCAGCAGCACCTCATTAGTTTCATGGAGAATGAGCTCAGAGTCAAGAGGATATTAAGACTGAGGAGAAGTGAAGGAAGTGTGCCATTGAGTGCAGGCAAATACGAGGTTCTAAGGCAGCCTGAACACTTGTGGAGAGTGATGTTGGTTCAAGGAAATTCAAGGAAGCCGGTCACTGGCCCTGGGATGCAAATGCCAGTGTCATTAAACACCCCCAGTTACTGGGTGTGTTGACTGACTTCCTGAGCATGTGCGGAGGCTGCCAGGCCCTGCTGACCCCAGCAATTCCTGCCGATTTGTGAGACAACAATAAGCATCATTTAGGGAACATGAAATCCTGGGCAAGAAAATACATGCTTGGGGAAATAGTTCCTACTTTTGTTTTTGTTTTTTTTTACTGTATTACTTGAAAGGTGGAATTTGGGTTTTAAGTCATAAGCTATGGAGAAACAGAAAGATAGTTTTAGGGAAGGGCAAATATAGCCCATTAATGCTAAGAACGCATTTTCTCAGAGAATAATGGATCTAAAAACAGGATTTTAAGCCAACTATAAAGAGCAAAGAAAATCTCCTACACTTGTAAAAACAGTTACTAAAAAGAACGTAAGATATGAAACGGGAAGCAAAACAATGTTGGAGTTGGGTATACAGAGTAATTCAGGTAAGAAAATAACTGAAAAGGGAGCTAGGACAAATACTGACATGCTTGGACGCTTATATCGTAATGTGCTTTGCGAAAAATGCCAGTCTGGCACTCTCAAAGGAGGACAGCGCTGAAACCCACGAATGTGAACTGGCGCCCTTTATACCAGGCAGAGGCAAGATTCCAGACTGGCTGAGTAAAGGGCTGGTTTGGGTATCACAAAGGGGTACAACATGTCAGGCTTTCCTTTCAGACTGGGTCACTAAATTCCCGGGTCAACAGATGACATATTATAGAATTGTACCCCTGAAACCTGTACAATTTTATTAACCAATGTCATCCCAATAAATTCAATGAATAAATAAATTAAATAAATTCAAAGATCAAGAAAATCATGTGTTGGACTTAATCAAGGTGTTTGACAAGGTTTTCCATAACTATGGAAAGAACATGAGGAAGTGAGTAGGACGACAGTTTGTTGTATGACTGTTTGTTAAGTGACCAAATGAGCTGGATAAAAGCCTGGAGAGACCACGCTGGAGAAGCTTGGCGCTCACCTGTAACATGGAGGGGGACATGAGGGTGGGCTTGTCACCCCTGAGGATGACGTAAAGCTGGTAGGGAAAGGGAATATTTTGAAACCAGAGTTGAGATTTTAAAACTTTGTAGGTTACATAAATGGTTCATCTCTAATAGGGATAAATAAAAAATTGTCTTGAATCCACAAAATGAACTGCAGGTAGGGAATGGGGAGGAGTAACTTAACATATGTGACATGCAAAGGGGTTTTATAAACAATACATGAAATAAGTTAACAATGTGCTATTAGTTACCAAGAGAGTTAATGTGATCCGAGGCTGCATAAAGAGATGGTTGGTGTCTTCCTAACTATCTGGAAGCAACCAAGGAAAATTGCTCAAAATGAAGAGAGATGATAAGGGAAATCAGGATGCAATTTCATCTGTGGCTAATGTTAAATCCTTAGAAGCCGACTCCCAGCCTCCTGGCTGTATTACTTAACCTCTCCGTGCCTTAGGTTTACTACATATCAAATGATAACAGTAATAGCCACCTCACAGGGTTGTCGTAAGATTTAAGTGAGTTACTGTCGACAAGGTGACTGGAATAGCCAGGGCACGTAGTATGTGCTATGTAAGTGTATGCTCTTTTTATTATTTCTGTGGTGTTTTATCATTTGTAAAGTACTTTTACATATGTGAACTCATCTGCTCTTCAATGGGGAAGGCAGAGGTCTTATCACCCTTTGCTCACATTTGAAGAAATGAACATTCAGATTATGTATTTTGGGACTAAGCTGTAAGCAGCAGAGACAGGCTCAGCTAAATTCTCTGACCCATTTATTAGCCGGTTTCTACCTATGTTGCCTTGATTCCTGGTTGGGGAGCTGCATTTTGGGGTGCAGCCAGGCTCTGCTTAACAAGCTCCCCTGGGAGGACCCTCACCCAGGAGTTCCTTTCTCTCACTGTGCTTGGGCCTGGCCGAGTTTGAGCTGGAGAAAGGTTATAGCTGAATGCTCTGGGTCTTATCCCACAGGGGCTTAGAAATCGGGGTATATGGGGAAGGAACAGGTACAGGGAGAGAGAGACCCCTGTCACTAAAGGAGTTGAATACTGTCCATGGAGCATAAGTGGAATGCTAAAAGAAAGGAGAAGGGTTGAAGAGGAAAAAAAGTGAGGGGGAGGGAGGAAAGAGAAAAAGGGAGATAGTGATAAGAGCTACCAGCAAATGCTTCAGTGGCCACTCTGAACCCACGCATTAAGCCAGCTACACTCCATTTACCAGGACGCGAGGAGGGTGGGAGAGGGGCAGGGTGAGCATGAGAAAGGAGCTAAAATAGGCCGCGAGAAAGAGTTTATGGTGCCAGAAGGCAGGTGGAACCCTAGGGTTTTACCTTGGGCCATAAGACCACATTCTGCCTCCTGAATTTGGTACCCTGTTGGTACCAGATTACATGGACTGGCCAACTGGAAGGTGCCCAGAACATACCAGCCTTGGTTCTTTGAGAACACTTGCATCTCTGGTTGGTGGAAACTTTTCACCAATACAGTACCACATTCTCTCCAGAAAGCCCAGCTTGGGAAGCCAATTACAATCTAATCTGGCCCCCAAAAGTGATAAACAGAGAACTAAAAAATATTTCCTGGCATTCTTGTTCTGATTTTTCTGGAGACCAAAAGCTCCAAATCAGAGAACTTCTCAGTAGAAAGTATATAACATGGTAGAGGTTTCAGTTCTGTTTTTACCAATGCTGAAGGATGAATTGAGGCCACCCTCACACACATGACCCTGGGGGAGTCACAGCTCTCTAGACTTCCTCTCTCACCCAACAGGGGGGGCAGTGATTCCTTATTTGGCCAGCCTGGGTAATTATAACAGTAAGAGCTTGGCTCTGGGGCTAATCAAAGAGCACCCAGGCCAGCCTTTCAGACAGACATCAGCTCATCAGAAGTAGTCGGGTATCTTTGAAAGTAGCAACAGCGCTGGGATCATCCAAATTTTTCCCAGCCAGAAGACAGAAACGCGAACCACGTCAACAGTAAGCATTCCAACTCCCTATGTGTTATGAAGACACACTCTGAGAAGTCACGGGCTTTGCCGTAGCCCAAGGAAAAGCCAGAGAAAACTCAAATCCTAGTACTGCCTGTTATAAAACGGCAAAAACAAGAAGCAAGCAGCTGAGAGAAAAGGGAAAGAGGGGAGGCCAGGGCAACTCGCACCCTCCCTCAATCCCTCAGAAGACGACACAATACCAGTACCTGAGTTAGGACGCCGTCTCAGCCCACCAGCACCAGAGCAAAGCCGATATGACCACCAGGCCTACGAGAGGCAGGGAGAAGATGGGAGGGTTGGGGGCAGGGGATGGCTGCAACATATCAAATGAGAAAGCAGCGCGAGGAGAGATCATGAGATGAAAGATGGCGTAAAAAGACATAAACACAGGAATCCAACAGATAACGAAGATGAGAAAACAAAGGGAAAAGAGAGAGAGAGATCAAGAGATTAAACAACTGGTCGGCAAGAGCAGCAGTTTCTTCTCTGCTACCCGGGCCTGGTTCTTCCCACTGGTAGCCTCCAGAAGACTCAAAACAGAATAGGTTTCAACCAGGTGGTGGGTCCAACTTTCTGGCTTGTCATATCCCTCTCATATCTTGTCAGGCAGGGGTGATCTGCACCCAGACCCTTCCTGTAGGTCAGTAACTCTGGAAAAGTGAAGCTCTGATGAGTAAAGCTGGGTTCTCCAGGTGAGAAGACCGTCTGCTTTGTCACCCTAGGAAGAGATCATCTCTTGCCAGGCCACCTGTCCCTTTGTCAGCCCCTCGTTCTGGCTGCTTTCCTCCAAGTCTCTAAATGTTCTGGGCTCTGGTCCCTACAATTCCCTAGGAGTGTAATGCTGTGGTTGTGAGACAAAATGCACTAAAATATGCCAACAATGGAGAAGGGCCAGCTCTTTGCCTGCAACAATCTTCCAGAGAGAAAGTGAATTTGGAGGGAGTAACACATATGCCAGTAGAGCTGCCTGCAAAAGATACAGGACCCACTGAGACAAAGGGTCACCTCCGTATGTAGACATCGGAAAGTGCTTGACTTTGGAAAAATCAGGTCTGGCATTTAGAAATATGGCACCCAAAGCCAGGAAATCTCTGAGGCTCTGAACCAGCACATGGTGGACTGCCATGAATTCAAAGAAATACTAAGGTCCTTCCACTTCATATCCTAAGTAATGGTCTGCCACAGGTTAACAAGAACTGCAGTCTGGATCCTCAGTCAGTGCTGCAGACCGACATGCCTGAGAATTCCTTAAAGTTGACTGGGAAATCCCACCATAAGACTTATTTTCTTACCCTATGTTTAGAGGGACAGAAAGAACTTGAACTGTAAACTAAGGCCTTATTCAGAAAGTACTCAAACTCTTCAGGGAGCCAGAGCCCCCAGTTAACCTCAACCAGGGCAGGAATTAAGCTGGTACGTACCTGTACAGATGTACTAGTGGTTAAAATACGGAAATACTTTTGTACTTTTGTTGGTAAATTACCTAGGATACTCCCACCCCAACCTCTTAAGATCCAGCAAATAAAGGGTGAGGGAACTGGCTGGTCTCCAGACTGAAATATTCTATCACTTTTGATCACTTCAGGCCCCCACCCTCATGCCTTGTAATATAGAGAGTCCAGGGGGTGACATCAGCCCTCCACCCACTCCTACCGGCAGCAACAAAGGTCAAACTTAAAGGTCACTGCGGGAATGGGGAACTGACTGACAGGCCCAGGATGACAGAAGGTCTCACAATGTCAGTGTCCCTATTGCACTAATGCAGGGGGAGCACCCCCCTGACATAAGTAACAAGTCCCACCATGTAAATGAAAAGAGGTAGGAATCCAGTGACCCCACCTTGGTTCCCAGCAAAGGTACAGTTCCACAGCAAATCGGCTTGAGCTTGCCATTTCCCACGCAGAGACCACTCTCTCCAGTCCCACCCCCATCCCCGCTTTGCCCGAGTGGTACCCTCAGAGCTCACTGGCCTCTCCTGCAGAAGTCCATCCCGGGGCTGGGCCACCCTGCACGCTGGGGCCGCTGAGCCCAAGGGCCCACTTCCCACTCGGCCCAGCCTTGGCTGTGGTTACCTTTCTGCTCTCGGAAATTTTGAGGGGGTTTTCCTTTGAAGCCTCAGGGCGAGAGTCATTCTCCTCTTTTCGGCTGTCCTCTTCCTTACCCTCCTGGTCTTGGGGCTCTTTGAATCCCTCATCCTCATTTTTTGCGGACTTCATCTCTATGTGATGCGGGTGCTCAGAAACTAGCTTATCCCAGAACTCCTGCTTTGGCTCCTCTTCAGTTTCCTCCCTCTCGCCTGCCTCCTCTTTCGGTGGGTCATCTGAGTTTGTGTGGCTGGCCTGGTAGTACAGCACTACCTCCAGACTCTGTGGGTGGAGGCGGGGCAGGGTGGGGAGGCTGTTACCCGCCAGGATCTCTACGCTCAGCACAATGCTGAACTACCTCGGGAACGCTCGCTTCCCATTTCATCAGTGCGTGGGCAGCACTGTGATCTGGGACTGAGTCAATCTCCCTGCACATCACATCGTGCGGAGGGCAGTCCCCGCCAGCCTCTCTGCACCAATCCATCTACCTGGCCATTAGCCGCTCCAGATGGCTGCCAGAGCTAAAGATTCTGGAGCTCTGCACTCAACAGCTCCTCCTGCCCCTGCCTGGAGAGTCCTGTTCCACCCAGTCCTCTGTTACTTATACGCGCACGACTACTTTGAATAAATTCCTTCCTCTTCATCCATTTGGCCCTCCTCTTGAGCATGTGGCCCAGGAAGAACAGGGGCCTCAGAAAATTGGGCTGGGTTAACTGCAGCAGGCATCCGGCCTAGCAGCTGTGGTCCTTTGGGGCTGTAACTCCATACATGAGCAGTCTGTACTCTACTCTCCCCTTAACTTCACAGGAAAAGTGAGTACATCAAATTGCTACCAAGATGGAACTACCCTAGACACCTTAGAGGCCCCAGAGCTTCTCTACAAATACCTCACCTGGTCAGAATGGTGGGAGAGATGATTTTTCTTCCCAGGATCTCATCTACTTTCCTGCTTCTGGCTACATAGGTTACTACTCACCTGCCTGGTCTCACAGTCGCTCTCAGAAATCTCCAGGCTTGGCTTGGTCACCTTTTTATTTTTAACCCCACTGGCATTCTTGTTCATGTTCTTATTGGCATTGTTGCCCTTGGTATCAGACGACTTCTCTTTGAGCTGGCGAAGCTCTTCCTGGCAGCACTGCAGCTGCCCCTCCAACTGCTCCTGCTCTGCCAAAAGCCGCCCCTGCTCATCCATACTGGCCTGGTACTGCAGCTGCAGCTCCCGCAGCTTGGTCTGCAGCTCTTTGATCTGTGGGTAGTGGAGGGCCAGTTACCCACAGCCTGGCCTACGCAGTCCGCCTGGGCCCTGCCTGGGGTCACTGCCTCAGAAATTTCCCTGCTAGAGTCAGTGAGGAAGCAGACAATAAAGAAAACACGAGGGAGCTGGAGTTAGCACCAGAACATAATGATTGAGAGTGTGGACACTGGAACCAGGTTGCCTGGGATCAAATCTCAGCTCCACCACTTACTAAACTGACACTGGACAAGTTACTAAAAAAAGAAAGAAAACATGAAACTGTGGAAAATGAGCCTTTAAAGCAGCTTTACAAAGAGCTCCTCCCTCACTTGAGGCACCTGATTTACATCTAACATAATTTTAAAAAGGATGATTTAGCTTATATTTTTACTGTGACCTGTCTGGTGAATAACTACAGTGCTACCACTTCTTAACCTCAGACTTTATTCTATCATGATTTTGATGGGAGCTCCTACTTCACCCAGACTATTTCTCTACTAGGTACAATCACCTAAGGAACTGTGATGGACACTCCTGAGAGTGCACCTGGGCACCTGTGGCTTGCCCTGGAAACAGAGGCAAGTCCCAACCCTGCTCCCTAACCTCTAGTTCTTCCCTGACTTCTGGCAGCACATCAGGGTCTCCTTGGTAGGTACCAACACTGAGCAACCTAGGCCCGCATGTCTGTTCCTCTCTGGATCTCTCCCCTGTGTACACAGTGACCCCAGCTGGACTGTGGACTATTGGTTAGAAACAATGCCTTCTGTCCCATTGCTAGTGGATGCAGAGCACTTTTGGCATGATGACAGATCCAAGAGGAGGTGGGGCCCTGTCCTTGAGGTGTTTACAATCTAGTTGAAGAGACAAGACACAAAATAACCAAAGAAAATTGGCAGGTGAAAAAATACAACTCTACAGCCCGGCCAGGCATGGCTCAGGGGTTGTGTGTTGGCCTAGGATCCAGAAGATCGCAGTTTAATTCCTGGTCAGGGCACATGCCCGGGTTGAGGGCTTGATTCCCAGTGGGGGGCATGCAGGAGGCAGCCGATCAGTAATTCTCTCTTGTCATTGATGTTTCTATCTCCCTCCCCCTCTTCCTGCCTCTCTCTGAAATCAATAAAGACATATTTTAAAAAAATAAAAATAAAAAATACAACTCTACAGAAGTGCTCTGGGGCACAGAGCAAAAGAGAGAATACAGTGGCAAAGGAGGGAAAAATTATTCAAAGTGTCTTGAAGATCAGTAAATCCAGCACAGTTGGCACCTGACAAACGTGCATCAGTGACGCAGCAGACTGTCGGCCTCCTGGGATTCAGAGCCCTCTGTGTGCGTCTGACCAGGAAGGGGGCAACTATGCGGAGCCGGCAGTGAGTTCCTGTGTCTCTCCTCAGCCTCTATGAAACAGCTACAACCTCCTCCGACCTTAGGGACGCCTACGAGAAACCCTGCCTCCCTGATAGCAGTTACCTCATTCTTGTCATTTTGGGAGGCAACAGGCTTCTCAAGGCCCTCCATGCACTCCTTGAATTCCTTTTCACAGGCATCCAGCTCTTCCTTCAGCTCCTTCTGCTGGTCCAGGAGCGTCCCCATTCGCTCCTGCAGCAGGCTGTGCTCCTCCTGGCTGAGTTTGTACATGGCCTGCACTCCCTGCAGCTTGACCAGCACTTCAGCGACCATGTCAGCAAAGTACTGTGAAGGGTGAGGGAGGGATGATGGCACCCTGGGAAGCACCTGCCCTCCACCCCACTAGGCCCTTCCTTAATAAGACAAAAACCTTCTTTCCCTGTCTGACATGTCATCTGGCTACTTTTACCTCTATGTCTTCCGGCTCAGCAGGTTCATCAGTGCTGCTGACAAAACTCTTATAACAAGTGTCAGAGCTACTGCTGCTGCTATAACTCTTCTTATAGGCGATGTTGCTGCTGCTGCTGCGGTAACTCTTCATATAGGTCTCACTGGTGCTGGTGCTGTCATAGCTCTTGAGGAAGCTCTCATCACTGGCCTGGGTGCTCCCATAACTCTTGTGATAGCTCTCGCTGCCGTCAATACTGCTATCATAACTCTTCTTGTAGGACTCAAGGCTCATTTTCATAGAAGGGGACTGAGCTTGGAGCAACTGCATTTCTTCCAGGCAGAGCTGCAAGTCAGCCTGCAGCCTCTTTCGCTCCTCTAGGAGCCTCCCCTGCTCCTGCTGCAGTAGCTCCTGCTCGGTGTGGCTGGCGTCATACAGGTCCTGCAGAGCCTGCACCTGGGCGATCACCTTGAACTGCCAGGAGTGGGTGGAAGACAGTATCAATACTCTAACACTGCCGTCCTAGCTGCACCCCTCCTGGTGCAGATGTCTAAGAGCATACTTTAGAGAACTACACACCTTCACTCCAGTCTCACGACAGCCTAGGCCATCAATTTAGCCTACAGGTAACCAGCATGGGTAAGTCTCTTGCTCATTGAGGAAAATCTCCCCAGGGCAGATACTCCAGTATTTCTGGGCTCCCATTTCTGCTGTTTCTGCACTCATCCCTCACTCCCTGGAGCAGTGCTGAATGGGTCTCAAGAACACTCTGGCTCCCTACCCTGCCCTCTTCTCAGTCAGGTGTACCTATTTTCCTGGCCTTTAGACTCGGTCCCCTACCTTTAGCTCTAAAATCAGCCTTGACCTTGAATATGAGCATACGAAAAATTCCTTCCTCAGAAGATGGGGACTTGGAATCAAGGTCTCACTATGAGTCCCTGTACCTCCTGTCCCAATTCTGAATCTGAACTGAGGGCATGTTTCCCAGGCAACTCTGGGCCTGGCTTCTTGGCTGCTGATGCCCAGGATGAGATCTGATCTGTTAAGGAAATATTTCATACCTGGTTCCTGGTTTCTGTGTTACCCAGGCTGAAATCTGATGCCCCTGGAATCTGACCAAATCTCACAGTTTGGACTCCTGCTATTCCCTGGATCTCCCTGTCATCAATATCTGAATGAACTGATTTGCCTAAATTGAAACAGTCTACCTGTTCTTCCTCACTCCTACTAAGACCTCAAACCAAATTCACCCCCCAGACCTGAAAGATTTAAATGGAAATCTCCACCAGTGAAGCCTCAGAGGCATGGCCCCTTGCTGGTGTCTAATCCCCCCGACCTGGCTATTATTCTTTCCAATGCTGCAATGAAAACAGTGTGGTCAGTACCAAGAACCCTACATGCTGGGACCTCTTCCCTTGGAAATGAATGGCCCCATATTGGCCTCATGTAGAATATCAAAAGGTTATAGATTTTATCATTGAAAAGTGTACTCCTCTATTATCAACCAGCTCATGAGAAAAGGACACCTTTAGTCAGCCCCAAGCAATCCAAATAAACACTAAAATGATATTATACATCTGGAAAATGGGATGCTGAAGGGATTGAGACAAATTATCAGGTGATTACAGACTTCCAGGTCATCCTGGTTCTAAGTATTCACAGGGCTTCAGCTCGGCATGCAGGTGAGTGAGGTCCTCAGGCCGTATCTAACGCCACATCTTCATGAGCCCATGAGCTGTCATGGCTGGGACAGATCAGGGCTTCATTCTCATCCTTATTCCTGGCCAAACAGGTCTTACAAACACTGACCCTTCTACGTAGCTCCTTTCCCTGCTAGCCCCAGAAACGTCTCCCTGCCTCTTGCTGTGGTTACCTTGTTTGAGGACTTAAGTGATTTGGGACCTCCTGGATTTTCCAACACTTCCTGGCAATGAGACTCTTTGAAAAGATGCAGCTCTTTGTGCAGCAATAATTGTTCGTTTAATACACTTTCTTGATTCTGTATCAGTTGTTTCTGCTCCTCCTGCATGCCTTGGTAGAGCAGCTGTACTTCATACAGGTTTTGTAACTTTGTAAGTAGCTCCTGACTCTGCAAGGTAGAGTGGAAGGAAGAGGGCAGGAACTGTGGTGGTCACATGGAAAGACCTTTGCCTCCTTCCTGCTGGAGACCCTCCCTCCCCTTAGGAATCTCTGGATTGGCTCTGCATAGTCTCTCTGGGATGGGGGCAGTCCTTCTGTGGAGATCTGCCACTTGAATAGAACTGATCTAATATGTTTAGATGTATTTTGTAGTTTACAAAGTGCTTTCAAGTATATTTTCTCTAGATAGACTAAATATCTAAATATTGAATGCAGGACAGATTCCAGAGCATAAAATGTATTTTAAGATGTAAAACCCTAGCCCTGGTCGGTGTGGCTCAGTTGGTTGGAGCATCATCCCTTATACCGGAAGGTGGTGGGTCTGATTCCTAACCAGGCTGTGGGTTCAGTCCCCGGTTGGGGTGTGTGTAGCAGGCAGCCGATCAATATTTCTCTTTCTCTCTTTTCCTCTCTCTCTAAAATCAATAAAAACATATCCTTGGGTAAGGATTAAAAAAAAGAAAAGAAAAAGATGTAAAAACCTAATCACTTATATTGAATTTTTTGGTTTGAAATTGGTGAGAAAGTAAGGAGTGGTTGGTTAAGGAAAGAAAAATCTCAATCCCCACCCTTTTCTTTGTCCCAAGTGTAGGCACACCTGGGAAGCTACTCAGCCACTTCTCTATAGTTAGCAGCCATTCGCTGGCTGCCTTTACCTTCTGGAGGATACCACATTTAGGTATCGGGATCGTGAGCCTGTGCAGCTCTTCTTGAAGCTCGCCCTGCTCCTCCTGCAACCTCCTCTGATCCTCCAGGAGTTCGCACTGCTCCATTTGCAGCTGCCCCATCTCCTTCTGGTTGGCCTTGTACTTTTCCTGCAAATCTGTCAGTCTGGACAGCAGTGAATCACACTGTAGGTGGGGCGGGGCGTGGAGGGGTGGTTACTCCGTAAGGTAGTTCTCTGGCTCTGTGGCTAGCGGAGCACCTCTGTGCCCTCCTGACTCTTGCGATTCACCAGGGTCGCCCTCCCTGTACTGAGAATCCCAAGCCACACTGCGCCCACACAGTTCTAGAGGATGAGCAGGCTGCTTGGGATGGCTGACTGTGCTCTAAATTTCTCTATTAGTCCCTTCTGAGAGCATTCTGAGTGGGAGTGTCATCAACGCCCCTCCATTTTCATTTCCCCCGCCTCCCTTTCCTCTGGCCTTTTCCTTTGGTATATGCCATTTTCTTGCCCTGCTGGGAATTCTACTTCCTGTCACTCATTATCCTCAATTTGTTTTTATTCCTAAGTATGCTACTTACCAATAAGGACTTAATTTCATCCTAATTTTTTCCATTTTTGTTTTTGTAGTCATTTAAAATCTTTAGAAAAAGTATGCGCTATTGCTAAATTTGGGTTAAGAAGACTAAGTCATCCTATGATTTCAAAAATCTAAATCTTCTAATACCAGACTAATCTCAGTGCTGTTTTATGACCAGAAGGAAAGCTGGCTTTGTATGACAGCATTCACTTCCTCTTTCACTAGGAGAGGCGGCAAGGAGCAAGGCACAGACCCCCTTACTCCTAAATTTAGTGGGAATGAGGAAAGGGAAATGTGAGCCTGGGAGTAGAAAGACAGGGGGACTGTTGGGGTGGCGCAAATAACCTCCCTGATTCTGTGTCTCCTGAAGGCCTTTCCCTGGGGACACAGTCTGCTGTTGGCTGTGGCAGGAACTAATGACTATTTTGGCGGAATGTGACTTGTTCCACTATTTTTTGAGAATCTTGGGCCTATCATGCTTCAACACCTTTCCATTTCCTATCATCGATCCTGAAAGTGCTCAACACAGGATAACTGACAATGACTAGCATCTTACACCCTACGAAAAAGAGAGGAGGAGCGAGGAAGGCTTTATTTATCACTACAGGATTTATTGCTAAATGGAAGTGGGTAAGAGTAGTATTCTGTTCAATTTAAAGAGAATAAAAACCAAGTTTAGAGGACCTAACTACTCTGAGGTCATAGGGTAAATCCTGGAAGAGCCTAAGTCCTTCTAATACCCAATCAGTGTTCTGGGCACAAGACCATGCCATCTGACAAGAGCATTTGCAATCTGCCTCAGAAAATTAGACCTCCTCTTTCTAGTTCTAACAAAAGTTATATATATGGGCCTATTGTGTGTGTCCTCCACAAATGACAAGATATCACTACACATGGAATTATACGCAAGCATTTCAGTGTTCACACTGGATCCAGATATACTGATTCTACTATGCTGTGGCTCAGGTTAAGGTCAAGGTCAAGGCAAACTGTCTTAAAGTTAACAGCATGGAGCTCTGCCTGTTTCCGGCCTTGCTGCACTCAGCTGTGACTGGACAAGAGCCCATCAAGCCCCTAGGGTGTATGGATGACTTCCTCTTTTGCCCTTACTTCCTTTCTCCAGAGGAAGTGCCAAGGAGATCTCACCTCTTTTTTCACAATTACCTTATCAGCACATTTTCCCTTGTCCTCTGGGATGAGCTGGGTGGTCTTGAGCTGATCCAGCTCCTGCTGGAGAAGCAGGAAGTCCTGCTCCAGTTGATCATACATGTGCTTCTGCTTCTCCAGTTCCTCCTGGCTGCTATGGTACAGCTGCTTCATCTCCTCAAGCTTTAACTGCATCTCTGCGTTCTGGGGCAGGGGAGGCAGGCCCGCCATCATCCCAGGAGCAGGTGGCTGCACTCTCTCCTCTCAGGCAGCAATGAAGGGGGCTCCTACCCTGTCCTTTCCAGTCCCAATTTCATCCCACTGAGGGTTCCCTGAGATGGGTGAATCCCTAGAAGGCTCTACATTTTGGGGAGTGGTGAAAATAAAGGGATTCTACTAAGCAACTCTATCGCCCTCAGCAACAGCTCCTCCACAGACCTCCTGCCATTCCAACTCCTCCTTTGCACCAGTCCTCTCACAGCAGCTCTGCCTGGCCACCTTCTTCCTCACCTGAAGCTTCTTTTACCTTGTCATTGCTCTCTTGGAAGCAGCCTGCGATGTCTTTGAGGCGTTGCACCTCTGCTGCGTGGTACCGCAGGTCCTCCCGCAGTTGTTGCTGCACGTCCAGCAGGCTATCCTTCTCACACATGAGGTTCTGGTGCTGGACCTGCAGCTTATGTAGCCGGCACAGTAACTCCTACGGCGGAGGGGCTTTGGGCAGTACCTCTGGAATTCGCAACCCACTCACTCTTCTGCCTGAGTCACTCTCAGACACAGACGGTCTAAGAATTGACTTCTCCCTGCCCTTCACTCACTGGCTGTCCTCTCATCTAACACAGTACTGAAGGGTAGCTGGATAGTGGCGGCTGGAGTTATTTAAACTCTCTACTCTTATCCACCTTCCCAAAACCTCTTAGCACCTAAGTAGCCCCTCGCCTCTGGTTACTGTTACCTTCTCACTTTGGCTTTCTATGACTGTGGATTTCATGACTTTGAGCTGCCGGAGCTCAGCCTGAAGCTGGAGTTGCACCTTCAAGAGCTCAGTCTGCTCGTCCTGGCTAGCATCATACTTCTGCTGCAGGGAGCAGAGCCTGGTCTTCAGCTCCTCGTTCTGTGGTGGGGAGGAGGTAGGTAGAACTGTTACTCTCAGGAAGCAGCAGGCCCATCTCCAGACCAGTTTGGTTCTTTTCCAGAAGCAGACATCTTGAGGAGCTCCCGTAGGTCTCTGGTCTGGTTTCTTCTCTGGGACAGACACTCAATAACGACTACCATTTCTAGAATGCAATGCTATGTCACTTCTCCAATTGGTCTCCGGTAGACTGTACCCCTGGTTGCAGGCAAGTCAGCAGAGCACAGCCTTACTCTGTGTTCATCCTCCCTGGAAGAGGCGGCGCCATGGAGGCCCTTCTGCCCTCCCCAAACTCCCTTCCTGTCATGTTTACCTGGGTGGCATGGTGGGAAGTCTGAAACCGAAGCACCTCATTCTGTGCGCACTTGAGCTCCCTATGTAGCCGCTTCTGCTCCTCCTCACTGGACTGGCGATGATGATGTAGCTCTTGCAACTCACAACACAATGCCTTACACTGTGTGGGGGAAATGAAACAGAAAGGCGACTTACTACAAGTGCATGTCAAGTGCAGGCTAGGAAGAATATTTACATCAGGCAAACAAATAAGACCCGAGTACTATCTCCTGCCATAGTGCATGCCTCCTTCGTCAGCCCTGGTCCTGTGTCTAAGGAGATGTTTCTCGCACAGGGCAGGGGGAGGTAAAAGAGAGACAACGAAAAGGGTCTGCAGTCCCCTACCTTGTTCTGCATGTCATGTATCTGCTCCTCAGCTCCCAGCAGCTGCTGTCGCAATGACTGGGTTTCCGAATCAGACTCTAGGAAATCCATGTCTGTAGTCTGAGACTCTACTGACATCATAGTCCTTAGTGTTTGGGACTCCAGCCACTTTTCTGTTGCTCTTCGTGTCCTGTAATCCAGAACCCCAGAGCCATGTTTGGGAGAGAACTCTGCCTTGCATCACCTGGCAAGTGTGCTTGGTCCTGATGTCTTCATTTTAGGCAAAAAATGGTAAGGAGCCTTTTATTGTGATTTCTCTTTCAAATAAACACACTTAGAAGAATACAAAGCCCCCAGCACCTCAATCTGCTAAGCCCTGTTTGGCTCTGGGAGACCCTAAGAGTGCCAGTCCAGTTGGGCTTGAGGCTGGGGCTGGTGTCAAGCCAGCTCCAATCTGGAGGACATTAGACAAAATCAAGTCTGTGTGGACAACAAAGGAATCACTTCTGAGCTACTCTAGGGCACAGCACACCAGACCCTAATGCTTAGAATAGAAGAAAACTAAATTTTTGAAATCACTCAGCTCTAGTCCTAGGCAACTGAGTTGGATCCCCATGACTGCTTCTAGGTGGTATCCAAATCCTTGGGATACCATAGGAAAGACCAGGTCTCCAGGAGGACGTCCATTAGCCTGGCATCTGCCTTCACCAGCTCTACTCAGGGAAAAGCCCAGTCCTACAGAGCCCCACTAGCCTCCCGCCTGTACCTCTCACTCTCCAGATCCGCAAGCTGCCCTGTGAGGCTGCTGTTGCTCTCCTGCAGGGCCTTGTACTCCTCGTTCAGAAAGCGGTAGCGTTCCCGCAGTTGCTGCAACTCCTCTGCAGAGGACAAGAGGAGAGAGAGGTGAGGTCCCAGGGAGGGAGCCCCCCACTTTCCTGCCTGGGAACCTGATAGCAGAGGCTGAACAACTCCTCTTTTTCTAGAGATGCAAGAGATCAACAGAAGAGGTGCCCCATGCAAAGGCTTAGAAGACGGCCCAGAAAATCCCACGCTGCAAAGGGCCTTTGTCCTCTCTCAGGAACTGCCCTTCTTTTCATCGTCCCAGATCTGCCCTGTGTGCCCATCTTCAAAACCCCAACCAAGGCAGAGTTTCGGCATTTTAGGAGCATGTGACGCCTTAATTGTTTGGTTTACTGTATTTAAAGTTCCCATTGAACTGTTTGATTACCTTCCTAGTATACTTTTAGTACAAAATGCTGAGAAATGTGAACTGCCAGGTGTCACACTGCCAGTCCTGGCCTTTTGGAGACAACCCGGGCATCCTGAAGGTCAACTTCCTTTATCATCACACCAAATACATTGGCCTGCATGTGGTCAAGAATTCTTTCTAATGATCTTTTATCTGCTAACAGAAGGGCCCATCCTAACCAGGCCCAAATATCACATCCGGCATCCACAGAGATCTAGCTCAAATGCCCCAGCACATGTCCTTAATAAGTACCAGGTACCAGTACTTTTTAATGCTGCTATAATACAAACACCCATATCTGTTTTTGTTTCTTCATGATTAAGAATTATTTCTCTCAGAATACTAATTCTATTGATACTTGATACTTAAAGAACACACAAGGTGTATCTTATCTACTGTCAGCTTCTACACCCTGAAATTCACTTCTAATGTTTATTCCAATCAGAAGTTCTTGGAATACTGAAGATTACCATAGAAGGAAAGAAGGAAGCTGATCTTTCATGAAAACCAACCATGTGTTAAACATTAGACTTGATGGTTTCAGCCTTAGTTTCAGTTAAGTGTGTGAGTGCTTTCAACATGTTAGGCATTTCATTTAATCCCCAAAACAGCCCTTTAAGGTTTTGTTTTTTTACATAAACTATTAATTTTAGAATAGTTTTAGATTTACAGAAAAGTTGCGGAGTACAGAATTCTTACCTGGGAGAGTTCTTACCTAGTTTCCCCTATTGTTAATATCTGACAATGGGTACACTCGTCATGACTAAGGAATCAAGGTTGGTACATTACTATTAACTAAACTCTACACGTTAACTCATGTTTCTCTACATTTTCCCTATGGTCCTTCTCCTGTTTCAGGATCTCATCTAGCAGATGAATAAATAGCTCCTCCTTTTATTAACCAATTTTTACATAAATGGAAACAGAGGTTGAGAGAGATAATAATGAAACTAAGTTCATTCTGCTAATTCAATGGAGCTGAGATGCTGAACTGAGGTCTGTGTAAGTCCAGCACAAGCCTTTCCACTGGGCTGGCTGCTTTCTCCTAGCATCATCAATCCAAATGCTCTTCTGAGAGGCTTGTTACAGCTGGGAAACCTTGCATTTCTTTGATTCCTTGTTGATTTGCCTCTGCTTGACCTGGCCTAATATAAGGTCTCCCATTATACCCAGATCATCAATCTAGCCTCAGAAGAAAGGCAAACTCTCTGAAGTCATGAATCCTAGCAACTAGCTGGGAGACTCACTGTCTGAAAGCTTTTGAGTTCTGAGCTTTTGAGTACCTCATGTATTATTAGAAATAACCTCCCTTCCTCTCCAGCTGTCTCGTGCTCTGATTTGTTGCCCCCTAAAGCTCCTACTTTGGAGAGGGCTAAAGGAACCTAAGAATTAGCATCCTAGGGCCTGGGAACAGGACTGAAGGACCCCCAGAAAGCAGTCCAGGCAAAATGCCATGATGCCAGAGCAGTAGGAAGAGTTTCCCAAGGTGATGCCCCTGTACTCCCATCCAGAACTGTCTTTCCCAGGAAGGGCTTCAGCAGAGTCAAATCAACAAACGCCTGATGGCGCTCCGAGAAAGAGTTCTCAGGGTACATCTCCATGGTGCTATTTCTTACACTATGATGGACTGATTGTGTGACTCTGGTTAAGTTTTTCTCCCTCATCGCCTTGAGTTCAACCTGGAGGTTTTATCTAGAGGTTCCCAATTCATGACCTAAGACCACCTACCATCTTCTTGCATCCTATCTCCCTCTGCTTGACTTTACTGACAGACCAGGAGAAGGGCTTACATGTTCATACCTTGTAATTCAGAGAAATCTGAGAGACTATAACTATTGGATGGGTCAGAGGTCTTCATTTCCATTTCTGCACGGAGGGAGGTGATCTCCATCTCATACTCTCCCCGAACACGCTCCATGTCATCAAGTTCATTTTGCATCCGACAGATGTCCTCCTGCAGGGATGCTATGTCACTGTCATGTTCAGTTGCAGAATCCTCCGCGGCTTGTCGCAGATTCTGGATCTCTGCCTGGGCCAAATGCAACTCCCGTTCTATTTCCTTAAGTTCACATTCTTTCTCACGCTCTAACAGGGAAATCTCCTCCCTTAGAGATCTCAGCTCACCTGCAAAGCCCAAAGGTTAGGATGGTCAAGAGGATAAATGAATTAATCTGCAATGTTCTACAGGCACAAAGGTAAAGGGAGGTTTAATTTCTTATCTGAAAACTCCTAACAACCTAGTCTCTATCCCATCAGAGAAGTATAGCTTCATCTGGAGAATACCTAAGAAGGGAAGAGAGAGTGAATCTATGTAATAAGATAGTAGAAAAGTACATTTTGAGGTCTGGAACAAAAAGCAACAACTTAGGCTACTGAAAACAAAAAGTATTATTAGTGCTTCCAAGGAATCGCCTAACAGTTAAAGATCAAACCTAATTTACAGTATTTTACTTATGTCCTGTGTCTTTTCAAAAATTCCCTGGCTAAAAAAATTTACACAGACTATTCTCATCTATTCAGTCTGGGACCTTAGAAATGAGAGCCTTATAGCTTCCATGAACTGCCTGTAGTAAGTACTGGCCTTAAAATAATGTATATTTAGAGTTCACAGCTGAAATTCCAATGTAGGGTCATTGCATAACCAAATATGGGAAAATAACCTAAATGTTGACTGGTAAGAGATTGTTTAAATTGATGATGATTAAATAGAATATCAGCAGCCATTTAAAAGAAAATGGCAGATTTACAGAAAAGACATGAAAAGGTCTCCATAATATACTAACTAGAAAGAAAAATCAGGCCCGGCCGGCGTGGCTCAGTGGTTGCCCACAGACCTATGGACCAGGAGGCCACGGTTTGATTCCTGCAGGGCACATGCCTGGGCTCTATCCCCAGTAGGGGGCGTGCAGGAGCAACTGATCAATGACTCTCATCATTGATGTTTCCTCTCTCTCCCTCTCCCTCTCCCTTCCTCTCTCTGAAATCAATAAAAAAAGAAAAAAAAAGAAAAATCAGCTATAAAATATATTATCTTATTTTTTCAAAAAAAATTATATGTACAATATATAACACAAATGTACAAAGACATAGAAAGAGGTCTGGAAAGATCTGTGTGCCAAACCATAAAGAGCAGTTCTTTCTACAGAGCAAGATAGCATGTGATGGGGACTTTTACTTTCCATATTGTATAAATTGGTGCTATTTGAATTTTCACAACAAGCCTCTGTTATAGTAGATTTTAATTTACAAAAGAAATGTGTCAGAGCTCTCAGTATCTGCGGAACATCTCAGGGTTTTTGGACATGGGTAACCTGGAATTAGGAGAATCTAAAAGTGGAGAGACAGTAAAAGGCACTGGCACCAATAAAAAATTCAAAATTTGGAAGCCAGGATTAAGGAATTAATGAGGACTGGGTGGGAGGGTCAGGACCTTCCCACAAACACTCTGCAGTCACACTATCGTTATCCCTCACCCTGAACTCCTGCTCATTCTGCTCACCATTCAGAATTCTTTCCCTAGTCTCTCTCCTCCACCTCCTCCAAAAACCAAGCAAGTCCTCCATGAAATGCTCTCAAAGCACCTTGCAGTTTTGCAGTGTGTGTGTGTGTTAAACCTTGGCCTCCTTACTTGGCTAAAAGCTTCATGCAGGCAGGGAATATGTCTGTTTTGCTCATCACTATAGCTCCAGGATTTGTCATAGTACCTGGTGTCAAGCCGCTTGATAAATACTTGCTGTATTCATGCATAAATGAGGCAGAGGGCCATCTATTGAACAACCTTTTACTGAGTACTCTAAGAAAAATATGAGACATACTGCAGATATAAATGCTGAATGGGCAGGATGTCTCAGGGGCGGGGGGCAAAGGTCTCCTGTGCAGCTCATATGTGCGGCTCTGGGCACCTCCTTGCCAGTCTTTCATTCTCTAGAGTGACCCCAGCTCTCCCCTCTTCTTGGCCCATTCAAATATTAATTGATCATCGCCTCTGTGCCAAGCCCAAGCATCTCTCCACTGAGCTTCTCTGACTTCCAATTTGACAGGAGCAAAGTCCTTGCTCTCTCCACGACTGAACAGCACAGAGGTGGTCTGCCTCTTGGGACTTAGAGGGAGACACACCGGTCACCTGGCCATTAGGATAGAGGCCCTAGGACCTGGGGTGGACTTCTGCCGGGGCTGACCATTTATTTCCCTACTGTGCCCTTGATGTTTGGGTCCCAGTCTCCCTTAGGTTCTCCTCCGGGGTCTAGTCGTTAAAAAAAAATGACACGCTCAAGACCAGGAGGAACGGAGGAAGGTCTCTCTCCAACTAAAAAAGCTCTTCATTAGGGACAGGGGTCAGGACCCGCACTGGTGGGGGCGGGGCTTGCAGGCCCGGGGGAGGAGCTTGCCCGGGAGCTGGGCGGGGCGGACTCCGGCCGGGAGTTGGAGAGGCCGGGCGGGTTCGAAGAGCCGGCACCAGTTGCCCGCGGGGCTGGGACGGTCGGGGCGACGCCGAGGGTCGGGGGGTCTGGCTGCGGGACAGAGATGTCAGCGGTCACTTACTGGTTATGGCTTCCATCTCGTCGGCCCCCCTTAAGCGGTCTCCCTGGGCGGGGGGCCTCCCGACACCGGCCGGTCCCGGCCCCCGAGGGGCTGTGGAGGCCGAACGGCCTCGCAACACCCGCTACCTCTGAGCCCGCGCGCGCCCCCTCTTGGCGGAAACGGGCAACGCGCGTGCGCAAGGACGGTCTGTTTATCTCCGCGGGGCGGGCGTGGGGGCGCCCCCGCCAGACCTCCAGCCGCACCCCCACCCCCTTCCTCGCCGGGACGAGATCTGATACCAGAAACGACTCCACTGAGCGGAATTGCTCTAGAGCTTTATTTTCCCACATTGCTGCCTCCCTACTTAGATTCCGGCTCCCTTCTTATCTGAAAGGAAGAATGTTCCTTAGTCAAGCAAAGGCCTTTTTATGCACTGGATCATTTCCTTCACCATAAAAACATGATCTAGTGTGTCCTACCTCAAAAAAAAAAAAAAAAAAAAA